ATTTTATTGGTCAGGTACTTAAGACATAAAATATAAAAAAAATTGTTGTAAGAACTGCCTTAATCTTCCATTGGCTCTACCCACTTCCTGCCCTTCTTTGTATTATTGATGTAACAATTGTTTATTGAATTTCCTCCTTCCATAATTAAGCAAATAAATGAAAAAAAGAAAGCCGTAAAAAAAATAAAGACTCACAGCACATAAGTCTTAAGGTCTGAGTACACAACCTATTGAGTCTCTTCTACTGGCCCTTTATTAGTCTCACTCAGAAGCACATAACCAAGAGTGTCTACAGGTTATATGCTTCTGTCTCAATGTAAAGCTCATCTTTATGTCATATATTTCATATACTCACCATCAGAACTTTTGAGGATATATGGAGCACACCTCTTGTTTCTGATTAAGTCTAAGCGCTCCTGTTAAGTTGTGAACAACACCAAGATAAGTTGTGTTGAGATGCCCCAAGGGGCTTGGCCAAAAAACCAGTAGAGAATTTAAACTAAGAAATGCAAAATACACTGCTAAAAAAGTCATTAGAGATAGTTCAGTGTGAAAGATACAATAAATATTAAACTTCACGAACAATCCAAAAGGTGCAAACAATAAGACAATATCAGATGAAAAATACTTTCTGAGCTAAAATGCTCATGCCACATTTATTACAATTTTAGATCCAGCGATAAATTTACTTATATTTTTATGGGTTGAAAGCTAACAGAAATTACCTGATAAGATGGATTTAAACTGTTGACATCAATGTCATAGTCACAAACAAGGTCTGATACATTCCCAGTGAGTGCAAAAGCATTTTTGTCAGGGCAACTCTTCACACAGCGCTAGAACAGGGTGAATTGCAAAAAAATACATTTTAAATAAATAACATAAAGCAATATGGTCACAAGCAATTTTCTTAAATTTATCACTTATTACAACTTAGTTGATTTGATCATTGAAAAACCAGGTAACACCATCCCCAAAATTTGTTTCATAACTTGTGTCATTTACTTGTATCATACTGTTATAATGAATTATCATGTTCCTGATTGATTAATGATGAGTGCAGAAGTATGTAACAGAAAGCAATAAAGGATTTCGACATCAACTTTGCCTGAAATTTGATAAGTTTCTAAAACATGATAAAATTTGAAGAAAAAAAAAATGGAAAGTTCAAAGTAACCTAAGTTTGTGATTTTATTGAGAACACAACAAAAAATCATATATCATGCCTTAAGCTTGAGATATTTTGAAATATTTTCAAAACACCAAAGTACACTTGCCTTCATACAATTTCCTGTTATACATAAGAAATTAAAAAATCACAAATATATGTGTGTGCAATGACTAATGAATTTTTAAGCCTTAGGATTATCATCAGTGCAATGTGCTCAAAAGTACTGTTTGTAAATGTCATTCACCATTCTTCATCTAAGGTTCTATAGTCTGAAAAAATTTCATAGAAAATGTAACCCTTTATAATCCAACATTAGTATGCATATTCCCTATCATGTTCTTCATATATTTTTTAAAGTGTTGACCATGAGAATTTGCTTAACAATCAAGAGCTTCTCCGTTGGTGATCATTTCCTTTATTCTTGTGTTCTTTGATTTGATTCAGGGGTGAAATTGAATGGAGAAATGAGATGCTCATGATATTTGGCAGATTGGTTATCAGGCTATAATGGCCAGAAATTGATTTGCACACAGGATTGTTAATTAAATTTGATTGCATCAACAACTGATGAATTATAAATTTTAAATAACAATTCCAAATTAAATGACCCAAGTGTCCTTTTCTCCATGTACCCTAAGTGTTTAGACCACTGTATTAATACAACAAGTCAGAGAAGTGGTGTGGGAGGTACTTATTAAAAAGAAGATAGTATATCCTTTAACCTTGTCTCAAAGGTACCATTTAGATGGATTAAAAAATGGGAAGAGTTCCAAGCAGGGAGTGGAGGGCTCATATAGGTTGGATTTTAAGTTATTCATCATAATCACCTGTTTTGTGGGACAAGATGCCCCAAAGAGATTTGTTGCAACTTGAGTGACTGCAGGAAGACATTCCGTCAAGTCAAAGAAAACCAGTTTAGGCCGATCCCTTCAAAGCAAAATGTTAATATTAAAAGGAACATCGTGATAGCATCATACATATCTCATTTGTAATTACTTGAGCAAGCAGTACTGTTCAAATGTAAGTTGATAGTCCCTGACACCCTGATCCTCAGTTCTCTTTGAGAATAGGTGAAAATAGTGGATTTTGACCACACCTACTGCAATGTCAAATTTCACAATTCCATTGGAATCTTTTTTAATTACATTTTTTTTTTCCAATAAGCTAGGTTCTGATCAATAAAGTTGTGAATGTGAAAATATAAAATTTTGAGCAATACTGTGATAGAGGTATTTTTGTAGGAAAATGTGCAATTAAGTTTCCAGGAACATCTAAATTCAAGCTAAAAAGAGGACAAAATATTCAGCTCTAGTATCAGAAAAAGTTGCCAGTGACATCCACCAGTCTTAAGTAAAACAATCATTATCCTGTTGTCCTGTACAAAATACATATCAAGATAATGAACTTACTTGACAATCTCATCGTAACCACAGATATTTCCTAAAAGAAGACATGTTTTAATGATTACAGATTGAAATTTAATGCTTTGTCTTGAGTAAAAATGATGATGCATTGATCTGTCCATGAAAAAAATTTATTTTGTTCCAAACAATTTTATTCAATAACAATCAATGCTGCTTCAAAATGAAAAAAAAGGCAATACAAAGAAAATTGTTAGGAAGCTTACAACTAATTAAATTTGATCATGATTGTAGTTGAAAATGATTTCAGGTTAATTAAATAAGTCAAATTCTGTTTTATTTCACAGTTTTTTAAAAATGAATTTGTTTGTCATAATGTAATGGAACAACAGGAAAATATAAATTAAACTGGTTTAAAAAAATGTTTTGACCTAAAATTCATTCCATACAACAACATGCTTTCCTGTAAAGTAATCTCACAAATTTAACATCAACCAGTGGTTATATCCAAATACAATACTATAAAAAACTGTTAAAGGAGGAATTGTTTATATAATCTCTAAGAAAACAAATACCAAAACATTTCCCCTGAGTGTAAAATCAATTTCATGTGTAGCCACTTACCATCAGAATCAACAGAATTCAGCAGCTTGTATGGATTACCTTTTATATATGCTGCGATAAAAATGTTCAGCAAACATTGTTAACACCCAGAAATTTATATATCAATACATATGTATATATATATATATATATATATGTACATATTCTCCTTTTAATCTGACTTCAGATCTCAACAAGTTAACAATAGCTAAGAACAATTCACACAGTAACTAGCATATTTAATTTGCATTGTAGCCTTGTTAAGTTATATCAAACATCTTTTGTGTACATTTTAACAATAGGTCATTTCCAAGATGCTTAAAGCCTTGGCTTTCAAGTTTGGGGTAATAAAGTGTGAAGCCTTTGATGTAAAGTTTATTTTTGTGTTGTCATGCAAATAACACTAATTTTCCAAAGAAAGCATTCTGCATGTAGCCTCATTTTGAAAGAAAGGGTTTTTGGAACAAAGGAAGAGCCTGCTCAAGGGTATGATAAACCTTATACTAAACATTCTCTTCAGTATACAGTAAAAGCACACACAGTCAAAAACTACATGTCTCTCATGCAACATTGTAGTCTGATTGTATGTATGAGTTTAGTCTTGAGAGGGATTGTTGTTGGTACCAGTGACTGAAGTTTCCATACTGTGATCAGTAGTCATCATTAGAGTTATAATATGAAGTACTAACCTACAATTCCCACGGCTATCATGCCAACAATGTAAAGAACAAAGAGAATGCAACATATACAGTCAGTGCAGCTCCTAAAAAAGCCAAAATATAATCATTAAAATTGTGGGCCATTTGATATCAAATCAGACATAACCCATTGAACCATAGCCTAAGTTTCACTTAAATTTATGTTTCTCAGAGAGAACAACTAAATGAATCCCTTTGATTCACTTTATTTCTTTCTTTTCTTAAATTTTCCCCTCACATAAATCAATAAAAGAGCATGCATTTCTATATCAGCCTGAGCAAGATAACATCATTTCTTTCTTTATAGCTACTGTAACTAAAACTCTCAGAGAACCATGAACATTATAATTCTCTCCAGACAGGTCAATTGGGCAGTGACCAATCACAATAAAGTTCAGGACCCACAAATACACCTCCAAACCACAAACTAATTAATATTGTCTGCGGATTAGTTTTCTAATTCCCCTGATTGGCTTTTTCTGCAGAGAACAGCCACATTCCATATACTGATAAATTCTACTTTCTTGTGTCCACATGTTTAGAAGTAATTCCCAGCAATAATCATCACCCTGCATTCTTAAAAAACACTGAACACTTGTTTTGAATGACATATATAAAAGTCAAATACAGAATACATTTATGGTGGTATTTAAATCACAGATGTACGACACTTACCCTATGGTTTACACTTGTTAAATGAGAAATATGTGTAGCTTAGTTTGGTATAGAAACCTCGGATATTGCAAGAACTACCTATATTAATTGTGTCTCATTTTCAAAGAGGTCGCATTAATTGATGCTGTTTAATTGCTTTATACATACTGAGACTCCAAACAAACAGCTGTTTCCCATTTGATACTGACAACCACTGTTCTGAAATTCTGTACACATCTGCTAGGATATCATTTACTTTTATAGCTATTCAAAGGGAAGTAATCAAGATATTTTCTTAGCATTATGCAAGACTGTTAGGAACCAGTACACATTTACCTGTTTTTTATCGGCCCATTAAATGTTGGATCAAATGGTTTAGGATTTCCTATAGTTAGAGGAAAAATTATCAAGAACTTGTTGATGATATAAACATAGGCAAGTAAGAAATAGCTTGTGTAAATAATTAAAAATTATTTACTGAAATGGAAGTAAACAACCACTACTCACCCCCACCTTAGTGAACAATTCTGATGGGTCTGGTAGATCAATTTTTTTGGCTGAATTGTTTACTTGTAAAATAATGTGGACCCAGCTCAAGCTATTTAGCAATTTACTATCAGAATTTACCATTGGGCCTGTGCAGTTTCATCATCACCATTTCCTTTTCCCTTGGCAATTTATAAGTGCAACATTCCCTAAGGCTCAAAGTCTGAGACATTTGTTACTGTTGAGCAGTGTTTACTAAATGTAAAATATAAACCTAATTTGGCAAAAAATTGGAACATCAAACTATCAGGTGGCAAATTTCCCCTTACACTTCAAGCCTGTGACTGCCTTGTATAGCTTCATCATAATCCTACCGGCCAAAACAGGTTATTTGCTGTCTTTGCACACGAAATGTTGTGTGAACAGGATTATTGTATCGTGTCGGTCAACACACCTCACTTATACATTTCACATAACAAAGTTTTGCATGCATATAACATCAACATGTTCCTGAAGCAGATCTCTATTCAATGAGAAAATCGATCTAACATTAACTGCGACTAACTCTCGAGCTGCACTGATTTTTCAAAGATGCATTTACGAGGATCCTGTCCGAACAAGGAAGTTGTTGTTAGGGGGCAATCAAATTTCACCGTTGTGATACATGAAGATCACGCGCGTACGTAAGAAGGGCAAATTACACATCTACCCAGTCAATTACATCTAAAAGGATTTGTAAAAATTGTTGTAAATGGTAGTTAAGTAAAATTTAGCCTTGGGACATCTCAATAAAACGGACTAAAATTTAATTGCGAGCCACCGCGATTAACTCATTCAATTGCAAGGCGCGATGCACTTTTTTTAAGGTATTTTTAGGTATTCATCTTAGTTTGCCCGCTCTTTAATACAGTATAATTTCCAGTACACATCGCAACTGCAACTGTAACCCTTAAAATCGAATATTGTTAGCCTGGAAATAAGAAGTAACATCCTCGGATGAAACTACAAAGTTAAGCTAATATCGCGTTTGTTTACAGAGCTAAACTTTGTACACACGTACCCCACTTGCCAGCTTTTCCGCCTCTCTTATCCCCTCCTTTCATCTCCACATTATCAGTCCTTTCATCGTCGCTATTTTTTCCACAACAACCCATCTTCGTCAAAGACACTGCTGCTCAAAAACTGTGTTAAATGAGAGTTCAACGTTAGAAACCACGAAAAGATATGACGTCGTGATACTCTGCTGTAGCGGAAAGTAGATGAGCTTTCATGTAAAATTAGTCCGCTCACGTCATTGGATAACACATATCACGTGCTAATGCAGAAGTCCTTTGTGAGGAAGTGTGTGATGTCTGTTGTTTATCCCTAACATACATCGTCGCTAGTAGCAACATAGCGGAATGACGAACGAACTTAAACGTTTGCTGTTGGAAAAAGATCCAAGCAACATGATGGATCTGTACTTGGAGATCTTACTATAGGGCTTGCTTGATTGTTCAAATGAATTCCGCTTCGAGAGCTTTTTAAACCTTTTCAAGGAAAAAAATTAGGCACAACTGCCTCCGGCTAAATTCACATACTCGTCACGAAATGGGAGATCCCGAGGCCAAAGTAATTTTAGCATTTTTCCGGGGGTAAAAACTTAAACAGGTTTCCTACACATTTTTTCTATCCTCAAAAATTTCATGGTTAACTCCAACAGAGGGAATATGGAAAGTGAGTCAATTTCCAATGAGATGTGCTGGGGGAAAAAAACGTGGAAGTCTTATTCAGTTGTACAAAAACTCCAAAAAAGCTCATGACGATTAAGATAAATTCTAACCCAAACAACTCAAAACTTTGACTCGCAGGCATCACTTATTCACACGTTTTCCATTACAGATAGTTTAGATTCACTTATCCGTAATTGATATGGACTGACCATCAAGTCAAGCTTCGTCAAACTTGGCGCAGGCAAAAGGGCGTAACATGACGCCTTTGACATTTTGATTTTGTTTAGATAATATCTAACCTTCCTTCCTTTAAAATAGTTTATTTTTTCTTATTCCTTCATTTCTTTTAGTGATAACTTACACAATGCCGGGATTTCGTGATAATAATGTTTATTAGGTTTAGGAAAATGGTAAGCTTATGGCCTTCTCCACGATGTTGAGGAAAGGACTTTAGAGGGAGGCATTTTAAGCTCTGTGTTTGGGGCGGCAATGACCGGGTTTCGGCGGGCCGGCGCTCCGTCAAACACGAAGATCACTCCCTCCTCCAGATCCAGATTTCTTCTCACCTGCGCCAGGAAGTTATCGAAACGCGCAGCATTCATTCCGCCGACAGCTGCTGAGGAAAACACAAGTCCACTGATAAGCGATATTGCCATGGTCACAGTCAAGCCCTCTCTCCCTACCGCGCTCTACCGTGACTTCTGGCCGTCCAAACGTTGTAGCCGCATTCGTTAACAAACACAAAGTGGCGCACTACGGCATGGTTCATAAACCAGGTTGCGTAATCTACTTGCTTGATCAGCACATCAGGTCTGTTTCTGTCAGCAGGAAGGGGCCTTACCAGTTTCACTCCAAACAGCTTCCCGTCCAATGTCCTTGCCACCTTGCAGTCATGGATCTTGGGTTTTAGTGGTGTAGCCGTTTCCTCAGTTCACAAAAAGACGGAGGTAATAATATTTACATCCTGGTTCACCAAGATATCTAATATCAAGAAGTTCTCTTTTGCCAATACCATCATTGAACTAACTGAGAGAGAGTTTGTGATCTTGGTGTTAATTTAGATAAAGGCCTATCACTGACATACTATATAAACGAGACGTGTAAGAAAGCAACTAACACCATCACGTCCATGGGTCGCGTTCGCAAATACATCACCAAGGAAAATCTCAAACTGTTAGTTAATGCACTAGTAATATCACGTCTAGACTACTGTAATAGTATCCTTTATGATCTCCTAAAACAGGAACTGGATAAACTTCAAAGAATTCAAAACAATGCAGCACGTCTTATTACCGGAACCACAGGTAGCCCAATCTCCAGCTGTGAGAGGATCATCTTGCACAATAACAGTCATAGCGGAATTATAAGAGCTTGTATGAGAATATTTATGACCGCTCTAAGGAATAAAAAAAATACGTCAAATTCTCAATAAAAATACCTCACCTTACTTCCACAGCCTATCGCTTATTATCTGGCCGCTTACTTTGATGAAAAGAACCCATTTTAGCGAGTTGCCCATTTCGAGGTCTTCAAGACTCTTCAACGTACATAAGAAAAGCCCTTTTCTTATATACGTTCTTTTCATCAAAGTAAGCGGTCAGATAACAAGAGATACGCTGTGGAAGCAAGGTGAGGTATTTTTACTGAGAATTTGACGTATTTTTTTATTCCTTAGAGCGGTCGTGAATATTCCCATACAAACTCTTATAATTCCACCATGAGCAAGATGATCATCTCACAGCTGGAGCTTGGGCTGCCTGTGATCGAACCTGCCCTTCGAGAAAGCTAGGTACAGTTCCTCGTAAATTAAATCAAAAATAAAATTTCTGAAACAAGAATGTTTTGAGGGCAGATTTAAAAGGTGAAGAGATGTTTTATTTTTAACAGAATCCGGTAGACTGTCCCATTATATAAGTGCGGAGAGAGCAAAGGCACGTTAACCGTATGTCACAGAGTTCATAGTAGGGACAATAAAAAATAGTTTGGAGGATGAGCGTAGGCTTCGTTGCGGGTGGTATTGTATTAGGAGGGAAGACAAGTAGGCTGGACAAAGTCCATGGATAACCTTGAAAGTGATGAGCAGAACTTTGAATGTAATCCGTGACTCAACAGGTAGCCAGTGTAGTTCATATCACTCAATTCTTAATTAATTATCTCATTTATTTATATGTTACTGTTATAAGAAATATTTTGTAGGTTTTAACTAATTTATTTTTCTATATAGTAAAGTAAGCGCATTGAGTTTTCTAAATGCGCCTAAAAACTTTATCATTATCATTATCATTGCTATTATTATTATTATTATTATTATTATTCATTGTTTATCCCAGCAATTTCCTCCGGGCAATCTCTCATCTCATCATCCGCGCGCAAGTTATTTTTTCCACCTCATGGTCTCTCCTGAAATGCTGCCCTCTTATGTAGCGCGCCACGATGCCCCTTTTCGTGGCATTTTGCTAGCGGCCAGAAGACGTTCACGAAGTGAATGAACTGAACGAAATTTACTGACCATGTAAAGTCATGCAAAGTAGGTGTTCATTTGAAAATTGATACTTATATAATGAATACGAAAAACACTCTATTGTTTGTACAAGCGCTTTAATGATTGTCCTATTGAGTCGGGACTCTATTGTAAAAAAAAAAACTTCGGGTTAAGAATAAAATTATATTTTCTCTTGCAAATTCCGCCAATGGGCAAATGTGGAAAAATGTCCAGTAACGACACCTGACCCAACCTCCATTGACAACATTGTAAACGGCGTAAAATTCCAGATAAAAACGGGCTTCCCGTTGTCAGACAACGAAAACACTCTTAATTTCGCATCGTTTCGAAAAGGACATGTAGAAATTGTTCAATTTTTTTTTCATCACGTCGTCATCGTCATAGTCGCTTGTAACTCGCACCGTTCTTTCCCGCCAATGTGTATGAAAGGGTCATATGATCAGAAGTGGAAAGCCCATGGGCGAGGCGGGGAGGGGAAGGAGGTGTTCTTCAAACATGTTTTATGGATGGGAATGCACTGCTGAACGCGACACAAAATCTTCTCATTTCTTTCCCCATTCATAACTGTGGTATATCACCCTCATACAACCACGTTTAGCCTTTTCAGACAGAATGTTTTAGTATCAGCAAGACCACCGCCCATGAATTGCTGGTCACGTCAAGTCACCCCAACATATCTAAAGTCAATGAAACCAATCAGGGCCAAGTCAGAACTCATATTTACTTTATTTATGGACAAAAGAGACCCACCCCCGTATCAATATTTACCTTTTGTAAATACAGCTATGATAAATTAGAGAAATTTTAGGATTCCAAGAAAAGAAATAAAGTAAAAGCAGTTAAATTTCCTTTGCTGTGAAATTCAATAAGTATAAACTATGAAACTCGAGATGTTAAAAAAAAGTTCTCAAAAAGAGCCAGGCTTCGAAAAGATGATTGAAAAATAATGACAGCTGGTTATGACACTTAAACTGATTGTATGAAATGGATTAAAACAAGTTTCAGTAAATGTGATCATGCTACATACATATTTGAAAAACAGTGAATAAAATATCTCTACCCCTCAGAATGAAGTCAGCAGATTGAGACTTAACAAATGTCTACTTCAGAGCCATTATGGGAGACTTTTGAACAAAACTTAATCCCAAAACAAACAATAATAAATGAAAAGATAGAAATCAGCCCTCAAACCAAGAAAGAAGTCAGATTTATTCAGAAATGGGTTTGAAATGTGATAAGCTCAGCAAACCATACTGGGAGAACTATCAAACAGAATAATCATCCAGTACAGTCACTGAGAGACCACACATAACAAACCAGAACGCTGAACAAACTGACTTCTGACTGGAATTAAAGAGGAAGAGAGAAAAAAAATCCTTAACCTCAGAGACAAGCTAGTATTATTCAGAAGTGGGTTTGAAATGCGATAAGCTCAGCAAACTATACTGGGAGAGCTAAACAGAGAATAATCATCCAGTATAGCCACTGAGAGACCACGCATAACAAACCCGCCAACTGAACAAAAAAAAAAAAACAAAAAAGAAAAAAAGTGCAGAACAAACAAAACAAAAGCCTGAGCCATAATGACAGAAGTGACACTGTTGAATTATCTGAGATGGTATCACTTGCTGACTTCTTCCGAGCAAAGGCTAAAAATAAGACTGACATTTGAAAGAGATTGATACCAGAAATAATAAAATTAAGATAGTACAGAATTTTCTACTTTTTTTTTTTTGGACTAATAAAATAATGATGTCAAAGCCGGAGAGTGCGGCATTTTTCTTTTGCTAAAATATTACTACAGATTATAGAGTGCAAGTTTGCTTAACTAATGGTACCTATAAGGTACATGATAAAGGTTTTTTTTTTTTTTTTTTTTAAAGTTAATTTAAAGAGCAGATAGTCCAATTTTTTTTTTTTACTAAAGGAGATAACTATATAGATAAGTGTCTTAACCAAAGAGCAGAAGAATTGATAACAAATTTAAGGTAGACTGAGTAGATAAGGTAACTTGGAAGTTAAACTAATAAAGGTGGATTAAGCTAATAAAACATAACAATATTGGTGAAAAAAAAGGAAGCCTGGCTCTCATTAAAAAACATTCAAAGACAGCAAAGGATTCAGATCAAAATAATAAAGTGCAAATCTGTAGCTGAATTCAAAATAAAATAATCTTACATCTCAGTTGTGAAATAAAGTGCTGTTGGAATCAATACATTTTTCTTTGAGAAATAGGATTAAAATTGTCCAAAAGTGCCATAATTCTTATAAATAGTATTAACACCCCCCCTTTTTTTTTTTTTGTTGCTCCACCCATTAATTTTTATTTATTACAGTTAGAGGAATTGGAGATTTTGAAATATTTGTCTGGTTCGAAAAAAAAAAAAAAAAAATCAATGTGGATTTTTTCATTTGATAACCACTGAAAACTTGATGAAAAAATCCCGATCAAAATGGGTCAGACCCAGAGCAGAATTAATTTTTGAGAGGAAGAATGGAAAAAGTACAGCTTAAATTCAAAATATGAAAATCAAAAGAAAGAGAGAAAGAGAAAGGAAGGAAAGGAAGGAAGCGGAAACGTGAATCATATGCAAAAACTTCTCAAAAAATCTCATAAAATTAAATACACCAGACAAATATTTCAAAATCTCCAATTTTTAAATTAAATGTTTTTTTTTCGACAATTAGTTTTTCCGGATACCCGGATAGCGAGATTTTCTTGGTGAGGCCTGAGCCTGAGGCTGACTGAAGACTATTGGATCAAAGAACATAGGTGGAGGAACGGAATTGGTTTCTTGAGGGGGTGGGTCTGGGTCCTGCAATAGTAAAACAGAAACTGTTAAAGCTATCTCACCAACATTCTGGCTTTCATCAAAAATTTTAATAGGACAGAAAAAAAAAAAACCCCAACAACACAAAAGCCATTAGAATAAACCAACAAGGAGTAAAATTGGTGAGGGATGGTAGATTAAGATGACTTAAAAACATTAAGTGGAAAAAAGTCCAGTTATTTAGCAGATTAAGATCAGTATGTGAAACTAGTCAACTGTGAAAAGGAAAAGGAAAACCTGGTTTGATTTAAGCATTTTAAACAAGACTTAAGAAGTTAACTGCCAAAAGTTTTAATGACAGTTGAACTTTTAAAAGTGCAGTACAAGACTCATTGGCTTAATAACCATCAAAGAAATACACAGCATTTAATTAAAACCTTAAATCCTTTATTTGTTACTTATTTCTTGTAAAACTTCCTTGAACTGCACAAATCATTAAACCTCTAAATTTTTTATTAGACAGAAAAGATGTGTTAAGTTTGTTATTAGGAAGGAAGAAATATGATGAATCATTAAAGGCAAGTTGGATGATTTTTAACTGAACAGAGAAATTTTAGGTCTAAAATGATTAAGTGAAAATATGATCTTTGGATGCAAGCATTGAAGTACAAATGGCCAACACTAATAAAATGAAAAGAACAACTTTAAAACTCAAACAAGCCCCATTCAGGTGAAATTTACAACTGCTTTCACTACACTTTTTTAAATTTTTTTTCACTGTCTATGGTTGCCCCTTGGACTCTGCCTAAGCTGATCTTCCTACAGCAGTTGCTAGGGCAGAATTCAGTTAAATACCTGGGGCATCATATAGCTACGGACTTCAGCTGAAGTAAGGGAAACAGAGCTTGATCGGGAATGCTGAAAACAAAAACGCGTATGTTGAAAACATAGGAAACTGAACACTGGAAGCATCTTCAGCTGTAATGATGTATTCTCCATCTGACATAACCAAACAAGGAGAGGAAAGAAAATCCCTCTCCAATCCTTCAATCTATGCTGCCCAAGCATAACCTGATGCTGTAGCTAGAAATGATGAAAAGTGTTGCTGCCTCATAAATGAGAAGACAAGTGTTTGTGAAATTTTCCCAAAATCTATTCATGTGTGTCTCACTTGAGAACATGGTACTTTGACCTGGTGTGAGTCCAGCAAGCTGACTATTAAGCACTCATTGCACCCAACTTCAAGCATCTACAACTCAGGAACACTGAAAATGACATGTACCCCTAATATGAAAAATCAAACTGTTCACTCAATGCAGAGGGTAGGCTCACAAAAAGAAATTAAAAATGCCTCAAACAAACATCAAGTGACCTTTTACCTTCAAATGCTTAAAAACTCGGATTAAGATGCATTATACACTATTGTACACTGTCTGTAAGCATGAGTCTTTACACTGCAGCTCGTTTTAATTTACAGGGAATACAGTAATGCTGTTTCAGATTAACATTTAGTATTTTGCATATACCCTACACATTTCATTGTGATGCATTTTAAAACAATGATATGAAGCAGTGACAGATTTGCTTATTAGTTTTAAAATTAACCAGCTTTGCCTAGCATTATCATTTTAACACTTAGAATTTTACTTTCATTTTTACATTGAGTTAATAATAATTGAGAAAAGGTGAACAAACAGAAAATCAAGTGTAATAAATTCACATGTCCAGGGGTTTGATCTCAAATTGATAAAAAGTAGGCTCAAAATTGCAATTCACCTGTGACTGTTGATCGCCCCTGTCCTCTTCTTCATTTCTTAAAAAGAAAACAAAAAACAGTCTTTTTTTTAACCCTTTCACCCCCAGATCTCATCAGTAATTCTCCTTGCTGTCTTCTATATCATTCTCATGATGTTTGTTCTGAGAAGTTGGTATTGGATCAACTAATTATCCCCTTGTTGAATTTTTTCTTTGCTCTCTTTACTTTTCTGCTTGATATTGATATTGTAAGGATAAATTTCTTTGTAATGAAAGAAAAAATGTCTGTGAGACTTCTGTGGCAAGAGCATGGAAGATTAGTCAAAGCTCTTCTTCCTTATTCTGAATTTTTGTGTTGCATCATCCCTTTTCTTTGTGTTACCCGCTACAAGAAATCTTTTTCTCTCCATAAGCACCTGCTAAGCTGACCATTATCCTAAAATGTAAGCCTGATTAAGCCTCTTTTAAGTTATAAAATACACATTGTCATTTGAAAAGAAATCACTTGATCATTTCTATCATCATTAATTATCTTACCGGGATGAGGGACGTGATGAAGGATTGCCAATAGCAGGCTGTTGATCAGCACTCTGATCAGCTATAAGAATAACACAGAATCAATTTTAGTCGTGTATGTTTGGAAAACATTATGTCTGTAACTCATTATGGCAACCACTTCATTGATTATTTTCTAACAACCAACCTATGATTTTCTTGGGGTTAAATAAATACTTGATCCACATGGAAAATTAATAAAACTCCAAACACCAAAAAAGAGAATCAAGGCCTATTTGTAAATAAGAATTTTTTCCCCAAATATCTTAAATTTACTGATATAAGTGACTGCCTCAAAAAAGGTCTCACTGTAGTTTCATTTTGATGAGATCTGAAATAAAGCGACAATATTACCAACAACAACAGATGTGAACAATGCACTACTCTTACTTGTAGTCACAGGAGCAGGTATGAAAAGGTTTCCTTTAAATTCAGTAGTTGGGCCGGGCATCATGGGCAGAAGACCGCTTGGAAGTGGAGCAGAAGCATTGGAGCTTTGGCTATTTGGGTTCAAGACATCCACATACTTCTTAGCTGAAAGGAGTAAGGCAGTCAGAACCTCTTAGTAACTGTTTCAGCATCAAAGCAAATTACTGTCACAACTATTTTCAATGATGTTCTACAATCAGAATAAACTTTAGAGTAATGAAAGGAAATGTGCAGGTAAGGTTGTCAATCTAAGAGAAGCTAATAAAGGTAGCCCCAATGCATGGTTCTAGACTAAAGAAGTTAGAACTTAGAAACCTGGATTAGACCTTCAAGAATATTTGTTTTTTAAATTAACAGTTCACAAAAACATCTGATCATGTATGCTAAGCACTTACCATGTCTTCTGCCCCCGTGTGCCAACCGCGAGAACTTAGAAGGTGTTGAAGGAGTCGTCATTCCAGGTAGCATGCCTGGACTGGACTGCTGGCTGGCAGGAACATTTGGCAACAATGGGGCCCCAAATGGAGGAGGAGCTGCAGATGTCTCACGAGCACCATTCATTTTTGACGCTGAAGATAGTTATAAGAATTATATTGACTGATAGCTTCTTTGAAAAGGTGTCTTAAAAACTCAAGTATATGTCTAATAAGTCCTAAAATGACAACAAAAATCTTCACCTGCACTGGGGGGGAAGCCATTGCTGAGTGGAATAGAAGGTGGCATACCTCCACCAAGCTGCATGTCACTTGGGGGTGGGGGTAGTGGAGTTTTCTCCTACACAGGACAAAACAAGAACCACATCATTGATGACTATCATATCAAAATATCTCAACAACTGTTTCATTTTCTAGCACATTCAAAAAGACCTCTGTTTCAATAACTAAATAATTTGGGCTAATTTGGTCCCAACTTCTATTAAGTATGATTAAAATGACACTCATACCTGCTCATCCTCTTCAGTGTTAACCCACTTTTTGAGCTCCTCGTCCCAGTAAATCTATATTAACACAAGATTATAAAAGGGCAAAGTTACTTGAATTTAAAAAAAAAAAAAGGAAAACTAATGATGCAAGGGTTAAAAATCAAAATCCTTAAAAATCTAGAGAAGAATGCAGGTAACACAATAAGTGGTAAGAAACTCTACCGTTTTATTTTTGTCATCAGGAAGAATCATTTCATTGGATCCTCGAGGCATGACTTTCTGAATTATCCCAGACAGACCTGAGAACCAGCCACCCTGCAAATAAAACCATTTAAACAGTTGAAATAAATATGCTGTTGACAAAATCTCATCCTAAAAAGAAACACTAAGCACTTTATTCTGTGCACATTTGTGTAAATTGGGTAATTACAATATCCACTGGATAAATTCCTAGGCAGAGAATAAGGGAATTGAATCTCCACTGCAGCTAGCAATTATTTAAAATGATGATTGTGGTTGCGAAAACCTTCCACAACCTTCAAGCTTGAATGCATTCCTATACATAAGACCACGAGAAAGTTAATAATTCAGTAGACCTGCAGTAGAATGACTGCTCATAAAGGGAACAGTATTTTGTTTTGTTTTTTTTACAAACCTTACTGCTGTTCTTAGCATTCTTTTTCTTCTCAGATGGTTTGGGCTTTGGTTCTTCTTTTGCTGGTGGCTCAGGCTCTATAACAGGATAAAAAATCTGTCACAAATCTTGTACAATCCTATGTTATACAATATTGTATCACACAATCAATCATACTGTCACTTGATACCTTTAGGAGGTGGAGGCTCAACTTTCTTTGGTTCCTCATTTCTGACCCCCTCTGACCATGATGACTGGCCACTGTCATTCCAAGATGGTTCCTGATGACTGTCATTCCAGGATGGTTCCTGATGACTATCATTCCAGGATGGTTCCTGATGACTGCCATTCCAAGACAGTTCCTGACGACTGCCATTCCAAGAGGGCTCTTGATGATTGTCATTCCATGATACTTCTGATACCTCCTGGTAATTGTCTTTCCACACTGGCTGCTGGGGGTAATAAGGCTGGTCCTCCACTGCAGCTGGTGGGTCATTGACCATTGGTTCAGTAACTTGTTGTGACACAGGAGGACCTGGCACAAAGAAAGGTTGCTGTGGAGGAGGATTTGCTGCAGATGAAGGCTCTGACCAAACGTCTGGAGGTTGGGATGCAGCACTTGAAGGAAACTGCTGCATGGATGAAGTTCCTTGTATTAGAGGCTTTTCAGGCTGAGTAGCTTCTGGATCCATACCACTAGACCATGAATCTTGATGATGACCAGTAGCTGAGGGCGGTCTTATGGGAGGTGCTGTTTCAGCTTCCTCTGCCCCCTGATGTTTGGGGGTAGGCTCATATCCTGAGAAAAAGGATACTGAGCTTTCTCCAAGGGGATCTTCTGCGTCACCTTCACTTTCTGTAACAGAACTGCTGATCTGGGATGATTGCTGGGGAAAAGCAAATATTAATAATTATATGGATGGCACTATTTGCTGATCTTTGATGCATATCTTACTGTTGATTATTAAGAGGGTTATTAGATATGCTGTCCCATACATCTATATGGAAATTGTTCAGCTTTGTTCAATGAGACTCTTTGCACTGTGATGCCATGATTCCAATAAACTAGGGCAAAAAAGGCCAGCCTAGACTATGTAATATACTCTAAAGGAACTTAAACATTCAACTACAACTGCTGTGGAAAACCTCTCCATGAAAAAATTATGATGGCCTGTAGCTTCTGATATAACATCTGAGACAGCAACCTAACTTGTAAATGGTAACTCTGTTTTTCTTACATCTTTAGCTTGCAGAAGCCTGTCCAACATTTCCGTCATTTCTGTAGCAGCAGCCTCTTCACTTTCAGGAGTTAATCTGTCTGCCAGCTGAGACACAAAGAAAAGAGAAGCAAGATTTAATTGATATTCAACAGTACACCTTTGCAAGTATAGAAAAATCATCTACATTACTTACCTCTTTAATGTTCTTGGTTAATGTAGAGTTAAAGTGGTGAGGATGTTTAATGATTATACGACTAATGAGGTCTGCATACTGCTGAGCCTTTTGAGATAAAAAGTGCAGAGTTAAACATTGCATTTATGGCAACCCTCATTCAACAGAACCAGAATTTTTGCCCATGTCCTCCTTAAAAAATACTGTCTTCTAGTTAAGATTTAGTGATGAAAAAATTGTCACCACAAACAAACAATTCACAAGACAACAACATCAATTCTTCTTTTACTTTCTTACCTCATCAGTGAAACCTCCCTCAGCCAACTTTTCTGCGTGGAGATATTTGTATGTCTAATAAAAACAAATATTTTACCATTATTATTTATTCTTTTTTCAGTGAATACTTGAGATTGTGTACATTGGCATCATTTCCAATTGACCTCAAATCAGGATTTGCAGCATGATAGAAAGATATCCCTTTCAAACAGACCCACAATCAATGTCCCTAACTACATACCTGCAGCACTGGGATATGATATTCTTCATTGTTTAGACTAAGAGCATACTCTAAAACCTAACAAAAATGACAAAATGAAAGAAAGATTAGTTATCTCTTATCAGAATTCACTGTATGACAAATAATTTTAGATTCATACCTCCATCATCTGCAAGTTTTCAAGAGGGATGAATTTCTCTGTGAGTGGATTTTTTCTGTAAAAGAGAAAGATTTTTCAAGGGTTGGTGACATCTTTTCCAGTACAAAGAGATAAAAAAAAAGCCCCTTGTAGTGGTGGTGTTTTAGAATGAAGAGACGGAATCGACTTAAACAAACTGGAACATTTCCATTGGTTCATCACTCTATAACAGAGTTGTGACAATTACCTGTGATCTACTCCTATCAGTGTCATCTTGGTCTTTTCATCAGATGGGAAACCAAACTTTTCAGAAGCCAACAGGTAACATAAATGTGCAGCCCAAACCTGATCATTAGCCACTGAAATTAAGAAATCATCATTTTGCATTATAACTGACTGAGTATCATTAGTGGTGATGTCATAGTAAGGTAATAACTGATTCAGTAAGCCAGTGGCTGAAACATGTGCATTATGATAACTGCCACAATAACTTGCTCTTTCTTAATTAGCTTATGGCATAAATAAACTTTTTTCACTTGTTTTGTTCACTACAAAGTTATTTGTTTTCAGTGCACTTAACTAATCTATTATGTGTTAAACAACTTGCACCATGATGTGGAACTTACTCAGAGTATCTCCCAAACAAATGATGTTCTTCTTGTTACTCTTTGGGTGCTGACGGGGTGGATTGGCCACCATTGCTGCAAGATTCCTTTGCCAGTCATCAGGTGTCTGAAAGGGAAGAGTAGCAAAAGTTGAAAGATTTCATGAAAAGGCACCCAAAGGACAGATTATGTCAATTGTATGAAGTAAAAACTAAACTAAAGTATGAGTCCAAATATTTTGGAAAGGGGGGGGGAAAGAAATGTTGCACAGAACCAGTGAGAACAAGTAAACAGCACCAACCATGGAAAACCAGGTTTGGTAAATGCACTATCATGGTTGGTTGAGAGGATGGTACAATTCAGGTAGTAACCCTATTGCCAGCTCTACGTAAGAAGACAGCTGTTGACAACAACAAAAGAGAAGGTTTAAGCTGGGCAGTCACTCACCATCAATGCAACCGGTTGTCTTCCAGAAAGGTGATTGTAAACCGTGTGGATTGGATCAAAATCAGTCATAGTCCTCATGAATCTGGATTAAAAAACAGAAAACAATGAAGTTAAGAATTAGCTTTGAAAGAAGAGCAAATAAAAGGAGGACCTTAGAATTGTGAGTAAGATATTTGCGCTGTACAACAATAAAAGTCACTTAACTAAATATGGTGATCTTTTTTGGACTAGCACCACTGATGGCAGTTCTTACTTCAGCTTTATAATTTCTGTGTCAGTTTACCAGTGGCCCTTCTAGCTCACAGGAGGAGAGAAGCACTGAAAGATTTCAGTGTCTTTCCCAATAACATATACCACAATGATCCACACAGGGTTCACATCAAAAGCTCTCAGTTTTTAGTCCATTAGACAAATCACATGTCTTCATGTCTCCAGCAATTCATAACATCTATTCCTTACCTTGTCATAACATCATTTTGCACTTTCTTATCCATTTTTCCTGCCAGCATCATGGCGTGTCCCCACAGACCATATCTCATGGAGTACTCCAGGGCATCCTAGACAAATAATGGTAAATGACTATAGCCATGTGTTGCAAGTTCTGTTCCATGGGTAGCCTTTGACTGGGTTGCTAGATCAAGCCAGCTAAGGGATGGTTACTCAATTTGGGGATTGGCTGCCCAAAAGGCATACTCTAGTCACCCAAACTCCACAAGTGAGGCAGACAAGTTTTTTTTTGGGAAAATAAGAATCAAGAGCTGAAAGTAAAAAGTCAACATTACCTTAGTTGCACCTGTTAAAAGCATCTCTCTATAAACTGCAACATGTTTGTTCTTCTCAGACTCGGAAGCTGGCAGTGCATTCTCAGCACATGGGAATTCATGTTCATCTGATGCATTAGACATCCTCCAGTTTGCCATAATGATTTCAGCCAAATCAGATGGTACAAAGGCCTGAGAATACAATAGTTGGTCACTTTTTATTACTGTTACCACGTTTTGAAGCAAAGTGAAGCTAGCCACTGATCTTTTGCAACAACAATTTTTGTAGGTGGAAGCACTTAGAATTAACCAAATAGGAGAGCACCATAGAGGAATGGATGAACAGACAGACAAAACCACAAGACCATCAAACTTGAGAATGATTCACAATTACTCACTCCATTGTGCTTGACTAGATTCCCAAGAATTTTCCAAATTAGAGATTTCACTAATTCAACGGATGTGTCTGTTGTAGCACTCCTCTGTTCACAGTAAGACATCACTTCTGTTCTACTAGAGTACATGCTAGAAGTGGAAATTGAAGAAAAAATTATAAATGCCTCAATAACACTGTTTACAATCAAAGGTTAGGGAGTTGTGTTCAATGAGTATTTTCTGACATTAAGGGATTTTTATATGGTGATACATTAATTTTTGAAGAGGATTGTTTATCAATATTTTTCTGTACATTCAAGCAGTTAACACATTTTTCCACTGTTTTAACAAGGTGCTTTGATACAACTTCATTTTCAAATGAAATTCTGTCACCAAATCTCATAGTTTGAAAAACACAAAACAAAAGGACTTTCAGAGAATTATTAAGTGCCACTCTCACTAAGAGTGGTCCTCTCGACTTCCCGTTGGAAAAAAGTTTTCTTTTATTTTTTGCCCATGGAAAGGGTTTAGGACACATGTTTCAAAACTAGTTTAGTTGTTCTCCAATTCTCTTTTTTCGCGTTGCCACAAGCTAAAAATTATTTTTGGCCAGTACACTAATGTAGACAGCGATCGAAAGTGTAAATTTCACAGATTTTGTCCAGCATGCAGCGACTGCAATAATATAGCTCACGGAATTCTATCTTGCTACAAGTTACGAGGTGCCTTCAATTAGTTCACAGACAAAATATGGAAACTTCAGCTGAAATATTTTTCATACAAGCGTGATCAAAGGAGAGCCTTCTATTCGACCTTTGTTTGTTTATCAAAATTCACCAATTTGTACGAAAGAAATCTCAAAATGCAGGCTTTAATCGGGCTAAAATGCATGTCAGTGTATAATTTATATACCATTGAGGTCACCGATTGCCTTTAACCTGCGGGTATATCTGTAGCTTTCATCTACCAACACCTTAAAAACAACGCAAATCCATGTGTTTGGTCAATTGCGCTCGCGTCAATGCTCATTTGCATAATTCTGAAACTCGACCAAGATCTCCTTTTGACCGTTCTAACTTCGTTTGTTTATCCTCTGCATTGAGGATTTCAAGTTTTCATAACAACTGAATGGAGAATAGATGCCGAGTTGTCTAAAACGTTGCGTAAACCTGATCGGTCGTAACGCTTGCGCGCTTGCGTGACTTACAAAGTAAACAAAGGTGACCGGAAGACGCCTTCTCGATAACTTTCGCTGAAATATCTGGTCATGAACCACGCACAGTGTGGAGAAGATGAAAATTGGCACTCTAGTCATTACAGACATATCGCGTTGCTTAAAGGGATAAACACACAAGTTGAAATACGTTACAGTGTTATTTACCAAAACAACACACAAATACTCTGAAAGAATTCCTATAGTTTCTCCCGAGATTTTGCACACGGAACGCAATGAAATAGCCCTCGTTTCTGCCAATTTGTTTTCATGATTTTACGGTGTTATGGACCACAACGGTTTTGACCGACAAACTCGACATTTCCCTGCGGCCGTCAAAATCAACTGGACAAACCCAGCTTGATGTGTTGCGTGACGTGAATGTGCAAATTTTTTCCTTGTCATATGACCTCCATCGCGGAACCAAAATTAGTTAATGTAACGAATTAGAATCGAAGGTTATTAAAATGGGCTGTAGAATTTTACATTTTACTGAGAATCTTATCTCCAAAAATTTTTACTTGATTCATGGAAAGCAAAGATTGTAGTGGCTGCGGATATTTCAGCTCTGATTTCTCTCCTGGAAAGCCGAGACGACGTATCGAGTCATTTGAAGTACTACCAGCTATCCAGCGAAATCCTCGAGTACAAGTTAAGTTTGTTTTGGTTCGGTCATTTGGGCCCGATATGGAAAAAATAAAACAGTTATTGGAATGTTCTAAACATCGGAACACTTTCGGAAACATTGGAAATGCGGTGAAAGTACTTGTTGGCACCCAGAAGACGAGGGACAATGTGAGGCAGTGAAAGAAAGCCAGACTGACTAAAGATGTTTTCGGAATTATAGTTGTAGTTGGATCACACGAGTAATATATTTTCAATTTCTCGAATGTGAAGGCTATTATTTAACTAAAAATTGATTCATAAGGGCCTCTCTGGGCTATCTGCACGAGTAGACAAAACCAGAATTCTCTTAACAAAATCAAAGGAAAAATTGTCATGACAAATTTTTGTCTCGATTTTGCATCCGTTTAAAAATTTCAAAGCTGTCAAATTTTTTCGTCAGGGCTTGATCTGCTCATGAGACCAGCCGGCATAGTTCGCCAGTGGACTCAAATTCTAGTTGCCAGGATTTATCGTACGTCGCTCAGAGTTCTAAAATCCACAAGTTTCGCAACAAAAGAAAGTAAAAGCCTTCCTGATAAATTTTAGTCAGTTCAAGACTAAAGACTCTACGAGAACAGATCAGTACTAACACCCAGCGAGTCTTCAACAACACCAAGGAGCAACAGAAACAAAAATTTGAGAAACTTCTCCTCGAACAGAAAGCAGCCAGCAAGTCAACCTCGACACCCAACGTTGACCAAACAAACTAGGTCATTAACCTGTCTTCCAGAGCACTCAGCGACGCAGAAACCACCCTGCTCAAGAAAGGACTAAACTTCGCCGTCACGCCGACCAACATCCCGGCCACAGAAATAATCGCGAAGGTAGAAACAGCCATCAGACCACTTGACGCGGAACAAGCCGACACAGTCCGAAGAACCGTGAACAACGTACTCCAAAAGGCCGTACTACCCAAGCCTAACATCACAACGGAAATGCGAAATGCGCTAAAAAGTCTCAAACA